AATTAAAAAGTTAGTATAAAAATTTTTATTATTAAAATTTTATTTTTAATCAGTAAAAATTTTTGCATTAACTATATAATTAAAGTAACTCTTTTAGAAAAAAATCTAAAAAATTTGAAAAAAAATAGATATTAAACTACTATTAATAAACTTTATTTTATATAAAAATAAAAATTATTTCTTTATAAATTATAAATTTTAATATAGAAAAAAAAATTTAATTTTTACTATATTTTATTAATAAATTTAACTTCCAAGTTATTATTTTTGATCATTATTATAATTTTATTATATATTAATATAATTTTAAATTTAATAATTCAAATTAAGATAAAATAACTAAAATAAAAGATTTTAATAAAGTAATTAAATTACTTAATAAATTCTAATATTAATTTATTTTACTATAAACTTATATTAAATACTTAATTTTATACTAAAAAATTTTTAAATTAAAATAAATATTTTTAAAAAGTTTACTTTATATTTACTTAATTTATAATATATAATTATTATAATAAAATTATTTAACTTAAAACAAAAAATTTAATAATATTTTAAATATAATATAAAAATTATATTATAAATATCTTATAGAATAATAATAAATTAAATTTTAAGATACTACAATATATTTAATATTATATACAATAATTAAATAAAAATATATAAGTTTTATAATATTTATCAAAAAGAATAAGTATTATTTATTTATATTTAAATAATATTAATAAAATATTAAATCAGATTTAATAAATAAATTTATATACTAAAATATTATTAATTTATTTTTTAATTTTTTTTATTTAAAAATAAATTTTTTAATAATAAAATTACTTATAAAGTTTTATTATAATCTTTAATAAACTTATTAAAATTTTATATATATATTTAATATAATATTATAAAATTTATTATTATTATTTATATAATTTTATTAATAAATTTTAATTAATAATAAACTTCAAAATATATATAATAAACTTGTAAAATTAATTATTTTTTTAAGCTGTTAAGTAGGCAAATTTGCCTATTTAAATTATTTTTGATAAGTTTTTATATAATTATAAATGTTTTTTATAAGATATATTCTCTCTTTATTATATAAATCTCTAAGATATTATATAACTAATCATCTTATAATTCTCTTCTCATAGTTTTTTTAACAAAAATATAAATTCTTATCTTTAAAAATAATCTTTGAAGAGAGAAATGAGAAGTATATCAATAATATATTTGACTGATAAACAAAAAAAATTGATATAAATTATATAATATTATATTAAAGTCAGCTTTGATAAGTAGTATATAATATATTTCTTTATTATAATAATAATCAGAATTATTTTATAGTTTTTATACTTTAAACTAAGAAAAGATTAATAATAATAACTTTTTTTTATTAAAAATTATGTATATCTTTTTATAAATTCCTTTAATAATTAATTAAATAAATAATCTAAAATTTTATGAGAAAAAAAGTAAATTTTTAATTAAATATATTTATAAATAAATAGAACTTAAATTGTTTTTCAAAAATTTATTTATTCATTTATTAGTTTGTTGATAAAACTAATTAAAAAAATTTTAAATTAATCCTTAAATAAAATTTCTAATTTAGCTTATCTAACTATCATGATAATTCAAAATTTTATTATGAATAAGTACTCATATTACATAATAATTTTTGTTTGCTATGATATGAAGTATACAAAACTAAATTGCCAAGAATTTTCATAAGTTTGGTCATTTGGAATGCTTTGCAGTCAAAACATAGCAAATTTTACATGACTCAAATTTTGCACTTTTTTGAGTCGTATAGCAAAGGTTACAAGATGACTGCAGAGTTACCATGTGATCTACACTTCTAGGAATCATCCTAGTCAATTTAAGTTATCTCTTTTATAAAAATTTTTTGCAGAGTTAATTTCTCTCAATTATTTAAGCGGGAAAATTTGCCTGCTAAAATGTATGCTTAAGAGATAAATAAGCTATATATCTTTAAATAAATATAAATTAATATCAAATTTTAGATTATATTAATCGATTATATGTTATACTTTTATTTTGACTTAGAAAGAGAGAAGGGAATTTGACCTAAGAAAATTTTGAGTATTTGTACAAAAATGTGTCAAAAACTATTTAGCAGGCAAATTTGCCCACTGGGCGATAGTGACACTGTTTTTAGTTTACTGTATTATAATAATGATAAGAATACATGTAGTAACAAACATGACTTGAAATATAATTATGATAATAATAAAGTGATTGTTCAAATGATTTAAAAAGCTAAAGGTAATATAAATACATTCAGTTTTGTACATTATGACGCATTATTACGACTAAATTCATTATAGTAAAGAAGTCCAATTGCTTCTGAACCTTGAACATTTGGATGCGAGTTATTGAATTTATTACACGAGTTCGTGTATAAGCACACTTTCTTGCTGAATTCAGAAGGATCACCGTTTGTATCAAAAACCGTCCTAATATCTGCTACTCTGAAACCGTTCTCACTGTAAATTTTGACTAAAAGATCATCTAAACTATTCGTAAACTTGTGAAAGTATGTAGAGCCTGCGTATTGTACCAACTCTCCTCCTGCCTCCTTTAATTTGGAAATTATCACATTTAAATTATTTGATACATTTTCTGATGCTTCTGAAACACATTCATCATTCACGCCAGTATTATCACAGTATCTGTGTATATCATTTACCCCAATATTAATTGTAACGAACTTCACCATGCCTCTATGTGATTTCATAAAATCTATGGCTTGATCTAGTTGACTATAATTCGTTTGGTTCTTATTACATTTGTCCTGATTAATAAGATCATCACTTGTTGCGCCACTGCACCCATATTTTATTAATTTTAAATTACTATAACGAGAATCCCTCTTTAATAGATAATACAATACGTTTGCGTACGAAAAAGATGGGGTAATCGCTTTCTGAGGAGAAATAGGCTTGACACCCGCAGCAAACGAATCTCCTAATGAAAGATAATACATGTGATGAAAAGGTGCGGTTGATCCAAAGGATAAGCATAATAATAATGCGACGAGGGATAAAAAGAATTTTTCTTTTGACGACATCTTGTATGTTAGAATTTTAATGAGTCAAGAGATATAGAGACAATGGGTCACAAAAAGATTTTTTTCCTAGTTAAAGGACGCTCTCTATTTATATCATCGAATTCGCGTGTTTGTTTTCATATTATTTTCATCGTCATTCATTTTATTCTATTTCAGGGTGAGTCGTATAAATCGGATATGATAATTTGAAAATAACTTGCCCTTATCGTTGCTTTAATAGGTGTTACAATAGATTATATTAGTATTTGTATCCGAAAATAATGAATTCATTCGCATGATTTTTCTTTGAATACTTACATGAATCGAAGCCATAATATTTCTTCATTCCTTTGATCACTTTAGCGAAATTTGGATTATAATTTGCTTTACCACATAACCGTTGGTTCGTAATTAGGTGATACCATAAACTGAAACGCTATTTTTCGTGGCACCACCTTTTTAACGGTAATAATTATTGTTACATCATATGGATATAAGTATGAGGCGAAAATGGTAGAGAACTTTGCGGAGTCTATTTATTTTAGCATTTACGATTCGATTTTTGGGTCGTTCAGGGGTACAATTCAGAATAAACTAATGAAGATTCAGATTTTATGACTTGGTAACGGTAGGGAGTAGCACTTCAAAAGTTTAAAAGCACGGGATTTATAGACTGTTGTTCCTTTTACCTCGCATGTTAAAACATAATATAACATGCGAAAATAGCAAGAATTGACGTTTATACATGAATTTATCAATACCTTTTGTGGTTCATAGACATCGACATGTACACCGTCAAAATTATCGAACACAGTATTAATATCGATATACACATGTAAATGTGCAAAACGTATTATATGCAGTTACCACGTGATATGAATTGAAACATATTCTGTGTACTTACAAAATTTTTAATTTATTTCATTTATTTTATTATTAATTAATTTGCGTTCAATTTGTGTAATAATAAACAAACTCAAAATCGCAAAAACTTATCGATTATCGTTATCCTGCTTTCAAAATAAGCAATACGCTATGGTAAATATTACATGAATTATCCTAATTATCTCTTCGATTTTGCAAATAATATAGCAAATTATATTCCATCATACATTGAGGATGTTTGAAATTTATGGCGCATTGATCACTTTTGAAAGCGAATAATAAGCACTTTACATTTGACCTCTCGCCTATATTTTGCCATACTCTTATTTGTCTTGATTATTTTTCCGATTTGCATATTTGATTCATCCAAAAATGATCTTTCTCTAAATAAAGCCAGTTTTTTTCTTATTTTTGCACTAAGAAATGCACATAATTGCGTTACTTTCTGAAATAAATAGCTTTCCCATTCTTAAAGTTTACCACACGTTCACGCAGCGTCCAAGAAACGACACGTTCCACCAAAGAGCAGTGGAAAATTACAGATAGCAGCTAATTTATTTGACGAGGCAGTATATTAAAGGATCAACAAATACAACAAAAACAGCGAAAGGAACAAGAAAAAATCAAGTCTCATTATTATTTATCTACGCAAATGGTTTTCATAAGAAGTTTGGAAACCAGTGTTGAATAAGTTGGCGCAAAAATATCATTTTGATTCTTTGGATAGAAAGATGTGAGCGATAGATTGTTATAATTCTGGTGATAGTGTTGTTAGCTATATTTTTTACACCAAATCTTATTATATAAATAATATTAATATCTGTTAAATATTTGATATTTAAAATAAATTATTTTTCATTTAAAAATTAAAATATTTTGATTTTAATAATATTTTAATTTTTTAATAAGAATAAAATTGTAATTCTTGTTTTGAACTACAAATTTACTAAGAAAAATGTCAAATATCATCTAATTTTTTAGGAAATAAGAATTTAATTAAATATTAGATTATTTATATTTCTTATAGAAAATCTTTATAATATAATATATTAAATAAAAAAGAGAATAGTATTTATTAACTGGAAATTAGATATTTTTCTATGATAATTTATAATAAAATTTTGCTATTTATAATTATTTAAATAAAAATATTATAATATATTAAATTAAAATCAAATTTTGAATAATAATATATTTTATATTTATAATTAAAATTATAATTCTTATTTAATATAATAATTAAATTTCTGAATTTAAGTTTAAATTTAGTTTTAGTTTAAATTTTAAATTTAAATATAAGTTTAAGTTTAATTTAATTTGAATTTAAAGTCAAATCTAATTAGATTTTTTTATAAAATATTACTTAATTATTTAAAATAATAATAATAATAAATTATTATTAATAAACTTATAATAAAAATATTATAAAATTTATTAAATTTATAAAAAGTATATTTATTATATATATATTATTTTTATTATAATAATAACTTTTATAATTATAAAATTACTTAAATAAAAGTTTTCAAATTATAATATTTTATCAATTACTAATATAATAGTTATAATCTTTTAGTTATATATATATATTTAATAAAAAATTATACAGAAAATAAGTTAAAAGTAATTTAATTATATAAATTATATTTAATTTATTAATATAAAATAAAGTTAAGAAAAATACAAAATAGAAAAGAAAGTGTTTTTAAATAATAAATATTTATTATATGAATTATTAATATATAAACATTTAATAAATAGTATATTTCAAAAAAATGCTTATAAAGATTTAAATATAAAAATAAACTATAAATAAAAATATAAAAAGAATAATTTACTAACTATATTAGTAAATTAAGAGATAAAAGAAAGTTTACTAAGAATTCTATCTATAATTAAAATAACTTATTATACTATATATCTTATATAAAATTACAGCTCTGAATTCAGACTACAACTTTACTTATCAAACTTAAAAAAAATCTGATTCAATTTTGATTTAATATTTCAATTAGAAATATTATTAATATTATTATTTATCATGCTTTAATATTTGAATTATAGATTAATATATTATTGATATAGGTAGCAAGAAATAGTATTCTATAAGTTTTACTATAGCTATAGTAAAATGCTTTATAATTAATGTTAATATTTATCTGATGTATACATTTTATAGATTGTATAATAATCATCTATTATCTTACTTCAAAATATTTCACACTTGGTAATATATTTTGTCAGAAATTCTAGATAAAGTATATGACTGAAAATAGGAACCCAAATAAGAACCACTCGATTTTTGCATTATGCATTTATTAAATTCTATAATTACATATCTCAGAAGCTACATATTCACATCAAAAAAACAAAAACTTCATATAGAAATGGATATTTTATTGAGGACTAAGCTAGTATATTGTTGCATAATATATCGGGACATCAAATCAAAAAGTCTCAAAAAAAAGAAACTTCGTGATTTTTATTTTCGAAATGCCTATTTTCGGGGTTCTGATTAACAATTTACTGAATAATAAAATCAAATCTCCAATTAAAAGGTTTATGGAAGTAAGTTAACAAAGAGCTAAAGTTTTATGTAAAATATATCAAGAGGAATATTCTGAATAATGATATCTTGAAAACACCAATTTCATTTTTGATGATACATCATTCAAATGCATTCTTCTCATTTTTTTTGTTCCTATATTCCATCTTGATAACATTACAATGTCTCGTTATATTTCCGTTCGCCGCTGATTTCAAGCACCATTCAATGCTTTTCTGCTTTTTTTGATCAACAATAATTCTTCAATAGCGAGTTATTCAAAATTTCGCCATTTTTCTTTCTTTTGCGATTCACTGTACATTGCTGATCTTTTCCCAATTCCAAACTTTTTGCGCATGTTTTTACCGTTAACGTTAACTCTACAAAGTTACTCGATATAACGAAGTCTAATTAAATCGCGATATAATGAACTTGAGTTCAGGAACAATTTATTATAATCCATATAATAATTCCGCTCGATATAATAATGTATAATGAAGTTTTTGAAATTTTTACATATAGACCCGTTATATTAAGAGTGGCTTGTATATAAAAATTCCTTTTTAGTATTCGTTATTAAAAATCCCAACAATGGTGTGATTTACACTAGCGCTAGTCATAACAGATAAGTTAACCTCTCTTTACGACGTACGAGCCTAACTTTATATCTATAATAAAAGATAAGCTCTGATTCGAAATGAATTCAACAATTTCAGCAACTTTACAGAAAAGCACTCAAGTAGTTGGCCCAAATGTTGCCAAAACTCTCGAGTTACTCGAACATGAAAACGTCAAAGAATATTTCGCAAATGTTAATAAAAATAAAGTTATTCACGCTATTTCGGTAGATTATCCAGAAACCGGCGATAATCCCAAAACCAAAATCGTGGGCGGTTATTCTCATGGATTTGTCGCTGCCATTCATCAAGCGTATAATCATCATCAACATCTTTGTCTAAAACCAGATGACGTATGGTTAACTATCGCTCAGGGTGTTAGCCATCATATCAATCTCAACGCTGAAAAATTTCGTAGTTATTTTGTTGAACATGAAGGAAAGCAAGAAATTGAAATTTTTGCTGGTGATGTTTTAAATTACGTTAACAACATTCTTGAAGGTGATTGGCCTGAAGCTATTCATCGTCTTGAAAATAAAACTTCGGAGAAAATTAAAAAAGTGGATATCTCCAAAATTCTGGAGTGCGATTTCTCGACCAGCACAATGGCAGCAAAAACAGCAAGTCATGTCATTCTTTTAGACGCTTTAAAGAACTATTTCAGCTACAAGATCTCGACACTCTGTGGCATTCCAAAAGTGACTTTGGAAGGGTCTCTAGAAGACTGGACTCGTATTCAAGAAAAAGTTGTAAAACTTCGCAATCTTGGTTTAGATATGGATTTTTGGCTTGATCGTCTTGAACCAGTTATTTGGAGATTAGTCGACACTTATCGAGGAGAAATCGACGAACAATTTTGGGGCAAAGTTTTTTCGACGACAAAGATCTATGGATCGGGTGGAGGAACTTATTGGACTGGGTGGATAACAGCATTTTTTCCATATGATAAATCTGATGCAAAGATCACACATAACAAAATTGATATCTATTATATACCGGATGGAAGAGTTCATGTGCCTTTCAGTACTGATTTAGGTCTGAACTTGAATTTTGTTGCCGGCTTTTTAGGTGCCAGACAAGAACTCGTTACGAATGAAGACGATACTGAAGTTTACGTTTCCTCTTTGATTGGGTGGTTCGTTGTTGACCAAGATAAAGATGAAAAAAATGATTAATATTATTGCGCGAATTTAAATGATATGCATAGATTTCCAATCGAAAAATTTATTCGCGCGCGCAATTTTGAATCAGTAATATATATTATTAGAGTATCTATATTTTTTAGTGGAATAAAGCTTTATCAAATTTAACCGATTGTAATAATAAAAGTCTGTTTTATCCCTTATGCTCGTGCTTCTTAGAATTTATGAAACTATTTCGGTCACATCAATAAGAGTGCTGAAAATCTTAAAAAACAGAATTATCTTCATGGATTAGTAATTACAAAGACTTCCTAAGTGCACACGCTCTAGATGCACACTTTGGCGGTCTTGTCAAAAAAACTTTACAAAGATTTATTATATCTGAAAGTGAGGAACAACAAATACCCCTTCGTAATTCACACAACTCAAAACCAAATCAATAAAATAATTCAATGGATTAATCGAAAAGTTTCCGCTGAGAATTTCTATGGTGCATTTTCTGATTTTACTTAATATTGATATCGAGTTTATTTGACATAACTTTTTATATTTGTGGATTTGATTGGTCAATATACATGTAATTCGTCAAATTACATGTACTCTGCATTGCGCACATATCGATATCGCATGATTTCAGAATTTTCGTAATCACGGGATTTCTCATTGCGACATTCTGCGAACAAGTTTAGAATCGGATAATGATATAATCAAATCATTTCTTTATTGTTTTCTCTGAAGATGCAGTATTAGCAAACCAGTCATGCAATTACGAGTATATACGTATAACCATTGTTATTTACATATTAAAAATGCATTAACATTCATTCCTAGCATATATTACTACTGCATCTACAAGTATTAATTTACATGTTCTAAACAATATATGGAGGTAAGCAATGTCACAACATAATAATAATTATTATTAGTTTATTAAATGCTTTTATGTATTTCAGATTCGAGAAAAGGCGCGCTATCGGAGGTAGTATTAAAAAAGATTCTATTTCATGTATTAGTAAATGTTATTACGCGCATATCATTCGTCAAATTCTTGTTCTCTAATATTTTTAGACTCTATTAAAATACACATTATACATAAAGGACGCAGGTTATTCATGAGCAAATCGTTGAAAATTTTATATGTTAACACATAAATTGTGCTGGCGAAAATGACACGGGAAAAATTTCTTAATACAATGCCTGAAATTCTTTTAGTATAAATTTTTTCACATAAAGATAACCGTAGATTTTGTCAATATTCCATTAAATATATGAAGATTTATATCTATTATTTGTATTATTCATTCTATTCATATTACATGAAATTGAATTAGTGCATTAAATTAATAATTAATTGTTCTATAGTTATTTTCTTCATCGCCTTCTTTCCATTACCGTGTTCTTTTTGATATATATCTTCAAGCTAGTCGCTTTTAATTATGGTTTCAATTCATAAAATGTTAAAATAAAAAAATGAAAAATAATTAATTCATCAGCTCCGGTCTCTGAAGAATTCCTTCAATCACACATGTGTTTAATGCAAATACAAAATAAGATTGAATGTTCATTCGCGTCAATGATTGATTTAAGAGATGAAAAGTTGACAATACCTTATGTCGAGTTACGAGAGAAGTTTAACTGAGCTTAATTAATAATACAGGATAAAATGTCAATGTCAATTTTGTAAAATTGAGCAATTTGAATCTTGGAGAATACATTCTACGCGAGGCCACTTTTATATATTTTATTCATAAAGTCGCCACAAAGTTTTCAAAGTATCACATGAAATTCTCAATTGAGTCTGTTATTACCGAAAATTTAAAATCATGAAGCTTTACGTTTAGGCCAATAGTCCGGATCTGGATTTCCCATCAATTCTACCAAGATTTGCGCTTTTTACTTACGAATTGGCTGAAAGAACATCTGAGGTTATCAAAATTTCAGAGAACTGTATATGCTAAAAAAGTAAATAATATCATTCATATCTCTAATACAATTGCATTCGAATTGGCATTTATTATTAGAATTAGGGCAGAAGGATAAAGAGTATTTAATGTTGGCTTATACGAGTTGGTTGTCCTGATAGTTGACGATTTTAAACTCGATGATACATTAACGAAAAACAAAATATTGCAAATTACGAAAATGTTAAAATGTTGGGCCTAAATTTGTAGCTGATGCTGATTTTCTAAACATGATTTAGTTCTTTATTTTGACTATCTTCAATGTATTGTTTCTATCAAATATGAGCTTGAATTGATGCATCACTTTTAAATAAAAAATCTAGAATTCAAATCATAATAACTACTTCATAAACATAGTTTCATTATCTTTCATAAGAACTCTGCTAACAACTTTGGGAATTGTATAAATGCGGGTATTGATTATTTACCCTTTTTTTTATCTTAATTATACACAAGTTCCTTTTGCGCAAATATTATCTAGAAAATATTTCTGATCCTTATTTAAATTATTATTATACAAAAAAATGGCAGATCATGTGATATTTAAGAAGTAAACCAATCAAATCGCAAAGTATGAAATGCTAACAGCATTTCAATTGGATATATTCCACACGACGTTAATAGTAAAATTGCGCAAGTAACAGTTTATGTTAAAGTGTTCCATAAACAATTCAAGATACAAACTATTTTTGAAAAGTCACATAATCTGTCCGTTTTTTCCGGTATTTGTCACATGTACATATACATGTACATGTATAATAATGCAATCCTTAAATTTCGGCAGTAATGTGTACCAAATAAGCACTCTCACTTTTTTATATTCTGGTCTAAAAAGGGCTAATTGAGTGCTTGTCTTCTTTCAACAATTAATGACGACTTAAATCATTAAAATATTCGGGAGGAGCGGCTAGTGAAATTTTTACACCATGCTTCTGTTTCGATTATAGATTTTAGGTCACGAGTTTCTCCACCATTTTGTTATACTAGAAAAATTTTTATCCATGATCTAATTGATTATGTTTGAGAATTTGTTCAACAGAAATACCCTGCTAATACGTCTTCATGCACATTTACATGATAAATGTCTATATCAATCAAGCTACACAACATATAATATATTTGTGATTAAATTGTAAATTCAAACATATAAATCTTAAAACATAACGAGAACGAAGTCAATATTATTATCTATGAATAATGGCAATATCACTTGCGTATCCAGTTATCTTCCTAATCTGGGTTTACATTTCTAGATATTATTATCGTTATTTTACTCGTTTGTCGCCTTTACCAGGATCTCTTTCAATCCCACTATTCGGCAACCTTCATCATATGATCTTTAATCCAGAAAAGTGAATGCAAGCGAAATATGGTGATATGTTTGAAATATATTCAGGATCAGAACAACATTTATCTTAGCCGTGCAGATCTTTCCGAGAAAACGAATCGTTCTTCTAAAGACACTAATTTTTAATAGAGTATGTTGATGTTTTCAACTATACTAATTATAATTATAAAGCTTTTCTACTGTTTTCTAACACGCAATTTAAAATTTAATCTACGTATATTAGGATTCTCGAAATGACGGAATAACCGAATTAGGTTAAGCAACTCACTGAATTGCTTAACCTAAGTCCTGATTCATGGCGTTTTTATAGAAAAGTTTTCGCTCAATCAACATTTACGTCAGGCTATATGCGTAAAATTGTAAGCACAACTAAAGATTTGTTTCAAGAAGCAAGAAACTTACTGGAACAAACTTGGCTCTGGCACGGAAATTGAATTGTGGAATGGATGACGCATTTCACTACTGACCTTATACTGAAAACTACAACCGGAAAAGGATTTCATGCTTTAGTACTTTATTATTATAATTCACTTGTTCTAAAAGATAAACAGCTTATATACTTTAATATTATATTATTTCCATAATCTGATATTATAAAGTAATAAATGAAATATCTACCAAAATTTTTGAGACTCCCTATAAGAAAAATATTAAAATTCATATCAGATATTTAACAAAAAGAATTATATAATACAAATAATATGAATAATAAATTCTAATATCTATTAATATTTATTAATACATACTAATATTTATTATTATTAATATTTTGTTATAAATATAATATAAGATCTTAGTTATATAAAAGTATCAATATTATTTATTAAAAAAGTTTCTGGTTTTCAAAATTTTCTATAAGAATTACAGATAACTAAAATAGAAAAAATAGGTTTGAAAAATATTAATATTTATTAACTATATCAAGAAGACTTTAATAATCTTCAAATAGAACTTGAAAAATTCTTAAGCTTAAATAACAAGTCATATAATTAAGAATTTATATATTTTAAAATATATTTAAGTATTTGTATAGAATTAATTAATATTATTCAAGCAATTAATTCATTTCATAATTCAGAATGATTCAGTAATATATCAGTCTTTGTTAATAAAAAAGAAGAAATTTTTTGATATGAAAAGATATAATATAATATTATAATACTATTTATTTATGATATTAATATTACAAAAACTTTTATTATTAATAAATAATAATCTTAATTTAATATTATTATTATTTTAATTTTTTTATATAAAAAATCATAAACTATTAAAATTCATTTATTATAATAATAATATATATTGAAAGAAAATGAAGATAAAAATACAAAACTTTATGGATATTCAAGATTATAATTAACTAAATAATATATATATATTTAAATTCAGCTAATATAATAGTATATATTATATTAAGATATAAAAAATAATAAATATTAATTAAATAATATATTTTTTAATACTAAATAACAAGTATTTAAAAGTTTTAAGTCTTGAAAAGAATTAAATATATAAGTATATACATATTTATTTAGATTATATAATCTAAATTAATATTAATATAATAAACTGATTTTAAAATAAATATTTGAATTAACTATTAATATATATTATTTATTATCAATTATAATATATAATATATATATACTTAACTATTAATATATATTATTTATTATCAATTATAATATATAATATATATATACTTATAGTGATAATCAAAAGTA